GGGGGGGGGGGGGGGGAATGTGCCAGCCGGGGCGCGGATCGAAGAGAAGGAGGGACGCACGCCCGTCCAGGGGGCCGGCCGCGGGCAGAGTGAAAGAGAGAAGGCGGGAGAAGAAGGAGGAGGAGGAGGAGAGGGAGACCGGCCGGAAGATATGGCGAGAGCACAGCGCTCCAGGCAGGGGGCGCGACGGCAGGGGAGTGTGCCGTGGATGGGCTCCGCCCCCTTGCCCGGGAGTCCGGGCTTTTCGGCTGGCATCCTGGGCCGTGATCATGTGACGAGCGCCGAGTGCGGACCGCGGGAAGGGCGAGATGATTTATATTGTACAACGCTCCGACCGGGCCGTCTGGGCCTGCTCGCGCGCGCAACACACACACACACCGGCGGGGGAGGGGCGCAGCGGAGAGGGAGAGAGAGAGAGAGAGAGAGATAGGGGGACAAGAAAGAGAGTGGAGGGGCGGCGACCGGAGGCCGAGTGTGGTGCGTCGACGGGGACACTGGAGGGGATGTGGAGAGGGAGGAGGGATGAACAGTGGCTAATTCGACAGGCTGATGTTGGCAATGTTCGTCAGGGGAAGGGGGATCTCCTCCTCCTCGTCACCCTCGCCACCCTCGTCGGACTCGTCGTCGGAGTCGTCGTGGTGCTCGTCGTCATCCTCGTCGTCGGTGCCAGGCTCGGTGGAATAGTCATCCTCATCGTCATCCTCGTCGTCGCTGCTGGCAGCGGCGTGACGCTGGCCAGGGGCAACCTCATGATCGGACTCGGCGTCGCTGTCGCTGTCGCTGTCATTGTCATCATTCTTGTCGCCGCGCTCCTTGTTGCGCAGGTAGGAGCGGCGTTCGCGCTCACGGAGGGACTGGATGTGATGGCGCTCCTCCTCCTCGAGGCGCTGGCGCTCGGCGTGGGTAAGGCCACCACTGAGAGGGGGAGGGGGGCGGAAGCGGGGGAGAATGGCGTCAGTGTGAGCTTCGCAAGCCCGGGGCAAAGAGGAAGCTCCATCGAGAGAGGGAGAGAGAGAGAGAGAGGGGGGTGGGAGGGGAAGGAAAAGGAGGAAAGACGTACTCCTCAACCAAGGCCCGGGGCTTCAGGCACTTGGAGCAGACGTTGTCCCGGCGGCAGCAATCATCGCAAATGACATGGTAGGCCTCGCGAATGGCGCGCTGCTCGCACGAGACACTGGGGAGAGAGGGGGGGGGAGAGAGGCGGCGAGAAGTCTGGCTGTCAGTGGGGGGGGGGGATGCGTGGCCCATGTCTAAGAGTGTATGTGTGTGTGCCGAGGGGGGAGGAGGGTGGGGGGGGGGAGGAGAGATGGGCAAATGGGGAAGGCGAGTCATGGAGGCGGTGCCCATCAAGACCATGATGGGACGGACGAGGGAAGGGAATGGGCACGCACCACTTCTTGGGAGTCGTGAGGGGCTTGTACTTGCGGAACTTCTTGCGCCATTCGAGCACGTCGCGGCAGGACTTGCACAGACCGTTGATGGGCAGCGAAAGGATGTGCAGAGTCTTCTTACTGGCGCGGTTGTGCTTGTAGGCCGTCTTATTCTGGTGCTTAGGCGCACCCTTGGTGACACCGCCCTTACGAGTACTCATCTGAAGAGGGGGGAGGAACGGATGAAGAGCAAGAAGAGTGTAGAAAGGAGGAGGGGGATAGGGGGGAGAGAGAGAGAGAGAGAGAGAAAGAGAAAGAAAGATGAGAGGAGATGGGGGCTAGGGTGGAGAGGACACTGGTGGGGCTGGTGTTTTGGAAGCCATCGGTCCATGGACTCAGTTGAAGGACCACCTGCTCGGGAGGTCCAGGCAGGTGGACCTATGGTCGCTTCGAGGCGGAAGCCAAGACGAGCCTGGACACGACGCCTTGAGAGGGGCACTCCCCCTGGCGCCCGCCCCCCCGGCCCCGGTCTTTCCCTGCACACACGTACACACACGCATACCGGCGAAGAGAGAAGCTGTGCTCGCAGGGCACAGGCGCGTACACGCCCGGGGCCTGGCCTAGGTGACACCGGACGGCGCGGCGCACGCATGGAGCGAGATCCAAGGTTTCGTTGGGACCTGGAGTGTTATTGGGGCGTGATCATGCCTGATGACCGTGGTGTGAGACGTGATCAGCATCCTCCTCCGGCATGCCTCCGCACGCATGAAACGCCTTCTGTTGTCCATATATACCTAACCTTCACCCCTTGCTGCGGGGAGGCCATGTTCGCCCGGGCGATCACTCCCCCTGCCGGGACGCGGGGCTTAATCCAGGCCCGGGATGGTCGAGATTCATTCTTCCGGTGTCGGAGGGGCCCGGGCTTGGGGCGGAAGCACCACGTCTACCCTCGCCGGGGGAGGCCTTCGTCACCAGTCCGGGCAAGCGGTCTGAGTCGTGCGGCGCCGGTTATTCCCCTTGTCAGCAAAAAGACCGGCCGGGGGGTGGGGCGAGGCCCGGCCGGGGGGGCGGGGCGGCGGCGGCGGCGGCGGCGGCGGTGGGGTGGCTGCCGGGCGGGCGAGAGAGAGAGAGAGAGAGAGGGAGAGAGAGAGAGAGCGAGAAAGTGACACATACCGCGCTGCCGGTCTCCGGTCTGTCGGTGTATGGGCCCTCTATCAAATGTGCGAGCGCACGCGAGGCGGGGCAGGGGCCGCCGAAAGGGGGCTGGCCGAATCTCCGTCCGGTGGGAAACATGCGCGTCTCCGATGAAGTGCTGAGCAGCCCCTCCCTCGCCCCCCCCCCCCCCCCCCCCCCCCCCCCCCCCCCCCCCCCCCGGCCCCCGGCCCCCGGCCCCCGCGCCGTTCATATGGCGTGGGGGTGTTGCGAGGCGCGGTCGGTCGCACTTGCCTCGCAAAGGGCTTTCCCGTCCTGGATGCGGATCGCCCGACCATCGCTCCGCCGGGGGAGATGGACACTTGTGGCGGCGGGTCGCCCGGGCGGGCGGAGTGGGGGAGAAAGTACGCCCCCCCCCTCCCCCCTCCGCCCCGCCCCGGGCCCGGGGAGGAAGCACCCCGGGGCGCTCGGCCGGGACCGGCGAGCGCGCCAACTCTGTCTATGGCGGCCAGTGGCGCGAGGTGCCCCGCAGAACGTCCAGGGGCATGCGGCGAGCGCCTGTATGCTCGTCCGCTGGCCGGGCGGCCGATCGGCCCATCGGTCGGCCAGTCGCATTCGGACGGGATGGGGGAGTGGGGCCTTTCGGCCCGGGGGCGCAGATGCCCGAGCGGGCATTTGATGTCGGCGAATGTGCATCCGTGCGCGAGCGGCCGCGCCGGCCTCTCTTGTACGATAGAGCGCCCGGGGCGAGTAATGCCTCGGGGGGGGGGGGGGGATAGTCCAAAGTCAGGGCCGGCCGGCTGGCCGGCGGGCGCCGCACCCCCTGCTCAGGCACACGCATGCGTGGGCTCGTGCGAAGGATGGGGCTTGACCGGACCGCTGGCCGGGTCAGACCAGGCCGCCGAGGAGCCAGCGCCTGGGTTCGGAGCTGCTCCCCCGCGGGCGCCGGCCTGGGGGTGTGGGGGAAGCCCCGGGCCCGCGCCGCGTGCGCCCGCGCCGAGGCGCAACCATCACCGGAAATGAATAGTGCCATGTGTACCGGCGCACACGCGGCCGGGGGCAGGGCAAGGGCAGAATTGATCCGTGGATGTGGCGACCGGGCCTGCCGGCCGGGGGGACCAGGGTGCCAGGTCGGGGCTCACCGCGCGAGCCAGAGGGCGCAGGCGTCCGTGCGACCGGCCTGGCTGCCGGCGCGCCGCGCTGCCAATGAATGTCCGCCTCTCTGGGTGTGGCTCGGCCCTGGCCGGTCTAGGAGGCACCCCCAGGCGAGGGACGCATGTCCGCCCTTCGCCCACGCGCCCGCCCCCCGCCCCCCGCCCCCCGCCCCCCGCCCCCAGGGGGGCCCCTGCGCTGGGCCCTCCTGGGCAGGCCCTCCCTTGCGAGCAGACGGGGCCGTGCGTGTGGCGCTAGGGCGGCCGTGCGTCCCCCCCGTAGCCACGAGGCGCCGCGGGCGGGTGCCAGCGATTTTTCGCCGCTGGCTCATCTTGCCGCGAACGAACTGGGATCGGCCCGGGGGTGCCTTTGCGGGCGGCCGGGCCTGCGTGCGTGCGTGCGCGCGTGCGTGCGTGCGTGCGTGCTTGCGCGAGGCCCTGTGCGCCGCTCCGGGCTCCTGGCGGGGAGAAACACCCGGCCGGAGGCGCAGGCCGCGGTCCTGGCCCCCGGCCGAGGGCCGGCCTCGAGCCCTCTTCTTCCCTCCGCCGGCCGCCCCCCCCCCCCCCCCCCCCCCCCCCACCCCGAGGGGCCGGGCTGCCTGGGCGTCGGCCTGCCGGGCCGGCTGGCGAACAGCCAAATCTTGGCGCTGAACCGGTTCGCCCGGCTATGGGGGCCTCTCGCCAGCGCCGGGCCCGCACCGAGACGCGCCTGTTCGCGCGTCGGCCCCTTCCAGCCATGGCGCGCAGGGAGGGCACACAACATGGGAGGCGTGAAGTCCCGGGCCGGCGGGCCGGCCCGGCCCGGCCCGGCCGAAGAGAGACGGTCGCCGGCCGGGGCGCGAGGGGGGGAGGGCGACATCGAAGTGACCGCCGGTCGGGGCCCGCGACCCGACGCCACGGAGCGGGTTTGCCTGTTTGCCTGCCCCC